TGGCTGCACGCGCAACGGGTGACATCCTGGGGAGGGATCTCGCCATAAGCTAAAATCTATAGGGCTCTCTTTTAGCTTTTAGGTTATTTTATTAATGGCATGACATGGTGGACTTGGTTAGGGCACTTCCAATGCTAGAAACTATGAGCAGTTTCTATAGCATAGGATATTGTACCATGAAACTGCCTATCCCAGTGCAAAATTTCCTTCTAGTATCCTGGTAAAAAATCGACCAATCATTCCCTGTGTTCCTTTCTCTCATCTTTGGATCCTCTATGCAGAAACCACACGGAGATAGTTGCACCTACGAACATGTACCTCGGCAGAGAGGCGTTTGCTACCGCTGTGGCACTGCCAGAGTCCTTGGAGCCTCCCGAGCGGAGCTCGGCACCGAGCGTAGGAGTGGATGTGGATGTTGTAATTTCATTAGCCCTATACTCATGTTAAGTTTATGGGTCCGCCCTTGAAAGGTCTATTTGTTAATTTGGAATGGAAGTGTTGGGCGCCCTCGCAGTAAAACGTAGACTTTGGACAGCGGATCATCGTTGGCGCCACAGAGTGGAAGCCCGCCCATTGTGTAACCTATGTGATCAAGCGGAGGAAAACCTAAGATCATCTCTTCGTCACATGTCCCTTCACGTTTTAGGTTGGGACGTGCTGGCGCCCGCACATCCGATGGGATAGGATTCCGTCGGACGGTCGTTTCTCGCGCGCATGTACAGCCTGCTTCTATCCGCTAATTCACCTTGCCCGCATGCGCATCGCGCCACCATCGCGTCCGTACGACTCGTTCGCAATCCGTCCGTCCAACTTGATTCAACCTGTCCCCATCCGCGCACCCCGCCCCCATCGGTTCGCCCCGACCGTGGCCCCAGCACGCCGCGTGCCACGTCCGCCGGCCACAGGCTCGCCACACCCCATTCCCCGGCGCCCGTGCCGTGCCACCATCACTCCCTTGCGCGCCCTGACTCTCCGGACATCATGAAACACGTGCAACATCCATGAAACAATGCAACATACGTCTGCAACAGTCTGGAACATACACTTTCAGCATATGTTATGAAAACATATACAACATCTAGATAGAACACTTTCAACTTGCAACATGACAACACTTGCTGCAACGGAAGACTGGAACAGATGAAACATTTGGAACATACAGTTGCAACATATGTGTGAAACATATGCAACATCCAGATCAAAACGCTTGCAACATACGTCTGGAACAGATGAAACATTTTTAACAAACTCTTGCAACATGTCTCTAAAACACTTGCAACATATGCAACATGTGCAACATTATCGATCTACTTTTGCAACATCCATATGAAACAACTGCAACATACCTCTGAAATATCTGAAACACTTCAAACATATATTTGCAACATAGGGGAGGGGGAGCGCCTGTGCTGGTCAATTTCGGTCGTCATGGTGGGAGCCAGCGGCGAGTTGTGGCACGCGAGCATCACTAGCATCCAGCACATAGCAGCCAAGTTCCCGGAAGGTTGGGGTCGTTGTACGTGAGCACGGTACGTGGTACGTTGTTTCTGAAGTTCATGGGACCAAGAGGGTGTATAGCTTGATCTCATTCCCTCAATTAATTGAACGCGTACCAAGTATCGCCCTGTTCGCTTGGCTTATAAGTCGTACTTTTTCAGTCAACGAACAGTATTTTTCTCTCACAACAAATCAGCCAACAATACTTTTAGCCATGGCTTATCAGCCAAGCGAAAAGGGGAATATAACGAGAACGTGTTCTCGGAACGATGAACATGATCCTAATTAAATTGGTTGATACCATGAATGAACTAATTAGCACTGGTTTTCACTAAATATAAAAACTTTAAAAGTTCTAAAATAATAATAAAGATAAAATCGATAGTTGAACTCGTCACGTAGTCTCTCCTCTTTTTTTCTTCCATCAGTTGAATTTTTGGCCTAAGATTTTCATCAAGTGGCCAGGCGTGGTTCCCGTTGTGTGGATCATATTCCATCGTTGTTCAGAATGATGTTCCATCATGTTCCCGCTCCACGAATTAGAACGATGTTCTCGGAACGTGGAACGTGCCCATGTTCCCGTTCCCAGGCTGCTAAGAACCAGTACCAGCGGCGCGCCGAGCATCACCGCCACTACCACCACCAACACCGGGCTTAGGTCAGGCAACGGGAGGGGGCGAGAGGCGCACACGACGGGGCGCGAGCCTGCGGCGGTATGGATGGGGGCGCGGCAACAGCGAGGGGAGTGCGCGTCCGCGTCCAGGACGAGGCAGCCGCAAGGCGCTGCGACAAGGGAGGAGGAAACGGAAGGGATAAGGATGGGTGATTTTTTTTAATAAACTCGCGGACAAAGTGAGCGGCGGGGGCGTTGGCATGCGGGTGCGTCCGACAATTTATGCTCGTGTTGGACGTAAGACACATAGCATTGCCGTTTTAGGTTTGGTGGTTCATCTGCTCCAGGCTTGGCTTTCCATGCCCACCAGCACAGAGACAGATGTGCTTCCCTTAGTTCTCTACATGACAGGTGGTATAAGTTGAGGCACAGCTGACCACCGGACAGGCGACGCAGGCTGGACTCCTTATTTGCCTTGGTCTTATGTAGTATCCGAAAGGAGAGGAACGCTAGGTGCTTTAGGAAGACCTCAACAACGCTCCAATTGCTGCTGCAGCTAATCAAGTACGACAATTTGAGCTGGGAACAACATCTAGGTAGTTTGACGATGTTCTCTTTAGATGGGCATTTTGATGGTGGTTCAGTTTGCCATATAGCATGTCTCTAAGTTTAGCACACGGTTGGCCATGCCGCGTCGTGTAAACATTTATTTCTTCTATATATCTAAAAAAAAAAATGTGCAGCCCTCTTGTGTATTCGAGAAGAAAATAAAAGATATGTTAATTAATATGCTAGTAGATGCATTTCTCAAAGGACGTACGACGTAGGCACGTAGCGCACAGACAGTGCGCTAGACGCTGCCCAAGCACACGGCACACACAGTAGCAACAAATCAAGAATATACACTATACAGTATACACCACGGCACATGCATGTGCACACGTTGGCACTTGAGAATCAAGCAGCCGCGTGACGTAGCAGTAGTGGTACGTTGTTGCCGGCGGTGCATGCACACACATGCCCATGCGTTGTCGATGCGATATGCATCACGCGTAGTCGTGCAGGTGGTGGTGCGCCGGCGCCGCGGAGCCGAAGCAGCCGAGCAGCGGGTCCGCGCGCGGCCTCCACCCGCGCCACGCCCTGGCGAGCCCCGCGCCCACCCACCAGCCCGCGGCGGCCGCCCTCGCCACGGCCCCGCCGACCTCGCGCAGCCTCCGCGCGAGGCGCCCGCCCAGGCCCAGGCCCAGCCGCTCTGCCGGCCCCTGCCGCCGCTCCACCGAGAACTGGTAGCTCTGCAGGAACAGCGCCCGCCGCCGCTGCCGCTCCACCGCGCCCAGCGGCGCGTACCCCGCGGGCTCCGGCGGCATCGCGTGCAGTGGGGTGCGGTTGCACGGGTTGGAGGACCACGCGGGTGACGGCGGCTATATGCTGGGTCGGGGGTGGTGGTGTGAATTGTGATAGGACTAGTGGTTGAACCAGAAACGGTAAACAAGGGGTTGTTTGGCGCCGACGGGTGCACCCGGCGCGCACCAACCCGACCAAGGATATTAGTCGCGTCCTTTTTTCTTTTTTTTTTTGCCGAACGAATGGTTGCCTTTGGTCAGCGTCGGTAGCGACGTTCCTCCTCCAGGCTCGTAAAACTGCGAACCTTGCTGCGTCGACACGTGGCAGTGTAGGCTAGTAGTAGCCCTACCTAACCAAAGTGAAATGAAATATTATATTTCATCTGAGTGAGACCCCTAAAATCCAACAATTTTGCCCCCTTTAAGTAGCAAATTGAAAACGCAAAGTTTATTACGCAACCCGTCGCGCACACGCCGAGCGAGCTGACGGGTGCGCTCGCGCCCGCACCTGACGGAGAGGAGGAAGGAGACCGTGCCCGCGCCGGAGAAGAAGCAGGAAGCCGTGCCACCTGTGCTGGAGAGGAAGAAGAAGCCAGCGGCGGGGGCGAGGATGAGGAGGAGGGCGGGTTGAGGACGACAGCGGGGTGCTCGATGGCGGAGCGGCGGGGCGAGGACGAGTGCAGGAAGGGAGCGCGGCGCAGGGAGGAAGAACGCGCCTAACTTTCGTCCAATTGAAAAGGGCCAACAAAATTCCATCCAGGACCATCCGAGACTACCTTTATCTAGGAAATTGAAAAGGATGCAACCAAATTTCATCCTGAAGTTCTGAACTGAACTCGCAACAGAACTGTTGATAGCTATATATAGGTAACTGAGTTAACCATAAACTATACAGCGATAATGCAGGCTCACCGAGGAACCCTGATGATTGTTCTGCTAAAGCAGCAGGATCGTTCTCACTAGTACTACTATTCAAGCATGCTGCTCTTTAATTTGGTGATGTAAACTCTAGAATTATACCCCCTCTGTTCAAAAAGAATGGAATTATCGCTTCTTCGCTGAAGAGTCAAACTCTGTTCCAAAAAGAATGGAATTCTCGTTTCTTCGCCGAAGAGTCAAACAATTCCCGATTACCAAGGAGTCGAACAATTCTAAATGATACACCACCACTGCATCCAAGGCAGGCTACATATCTAAATGCAATAGCAATACATCCAGTACCGTGCTACCTGAGTACCTGCCTGAGACCGGAGATTTCATCTGAAACCCTGAAATTCCAACCATTTTTACCCTTAAACTAGCAAAGAGATACAAACAAAATCCAGATAAACATCTGTTACCATCCGAGTTTCTGAACTGAAGTACGTTTGCAGCCTTGCAGGTGACCTGAGCCTATAGATCACCGAGTTAACGATAAACTGAAGCTGAGCTGAGCCTATAGATAGATAACTGAGTTAACGATAACTACACTTGCACAGCAACATCCCAAAACAAGGGATCTCCACTCCTAACCACCACGTACACCAAAATTCCAGTGCCAGTAAAGCTTAGCTGCCGCTGCTCCCAGACTTCCCATCGCCCCACTGGCCTTGGCCGCCCAGATGCCCTTTCATCTTGAGGTCCCTCGCCACCTGCTGGAGCTGCTGCGCCTGCAGCGAGTGCAGTTGCTGCTGCTGCTGCTGCGCCTGCAGCGAGTGCAGGTGCTGCTGCTGAGAATGTTGTGACTGCTGCTGAGGCTGGGAGTGGAGCTGGAGCTGCTGCAGCTGGTGCGTCGCCAGCATGGATTGCATCGCTTGGTTGTTGTGGAACATCTGCTGGTTGCCTCCAAACGGGCGTGGCATGGCGCCAAAGTTCATCATCATCCCTCCACCACCATTGGCCACCTGTCCTGTTGCCACCTTCAGTCGCTGGACCTCTGCTTTCAGTGTGTCATTCAAAGCTGCAACAAGAACAGCAAAAACTAGTGAACTATGCTCATATATTTCTCATGCACAAAGGCTCTGGCATCATGCATAGGAAAAGTAGGAAAAACTAGTAGCATGCAAAAAATTAACTGTTACTGCAGTAGACCTAATAATAAAAATGTTGGACAAGGTAAAATCCATCAATCATAAGGGTCCAATGAATATTACCATCTTGTAAATGGACTTGCTGTTCCATGGTCTGCAGGCGAATCTTCAACTCACTATTCTCGGTTGTTAGCCCAGTAGTGTCTCTCTGACATAGCAACAAAAGTAGAATAACAGTTAGTAACAAAAGCAAGGTAAATGAGCAGAATAGCTGTTATTAATAGCATGAGCATAGTGAAGCATGTAGGTGTGATCCACAAGTATTTTGTATATTAATTGGTAGCTCCAGAAAGGAATGATGCTCCATATAAAATGATAAATTGCTAAAGTTAGGACCTCATTTCACTAAGCTTTAAGATGTCAAAACTTTTGTAATACGGCATACTTTTCTGTACACAGCATAGTTCTGTCCAATCATTAAGATAATATGACAATGAATAAAAAGATCACTTGTGTGACATAAGAAACTAGTATAAATTATAGCCTCTCTAACAATATATTTTTTTCTGAACATTATATCCATATAGCCATATAGGGAACACCAAACACCTCCTATTACTTTGGTAACTATGTGAATAGTATGAAGACCTAACAAGAGATAAAGGCTATGTCTCACTCATAACAAGGAGGAAAGTAATGCCCACAAAACCATCAAGCCATTCCAAAACTAGCATGGCATTATGGCCTACTTGGCCTACTTTGATCAATAGTTTCAAACCACAGGGATATGAGATATCGCAACTTAGAAAATGATCCTTCCAAGATTTATCTCATCACATGTGGCTCTACTGTAGTAAACCACATGGATGTGGTGTTTTGTGCAATGCAAGGACATATCTCGATGCCACTTGTGTTTGTACAATTGTACTAATATTACATCTTTCATTGATGCAACATCATTCCTTTCCATAAAGAAAGCAAATTTACTCAATGCTATTTTATATAAAAAAAATGGCAACATCTGAGAACAATGATAAAGTATATTGGACAGATCAAATGGTCCTTAACAGATAGTTCTACTTTAGCACAGCCTTTTAAAACAGAACAGAGAGCTGGTTCACACCCAAAAAGAAACTGGCAGCTGGTATGACATAAATATGGAAGGATTCAAGGATCAAACCCCTGATCTCTCCAAAACTCCCAAGTTACCACCCAAAAAACACTACCTATGGTTACGAGTTATGACAATGAAAAAGCTATAACTTCACCTTGGATTAAAATTAAATAGCATTTAAGCATTTTGCAATCAAACAACTATGCCTAACGCCCAAACTATGCTTATCATGCATATGGCAAGGCAATAAATAGTATGGATTAAAAGTCATCAATGTGGACTGCAGTAGATCCCTAAAAACACATGTTGATGAGAGCAGGAAGTGCAGAACACAGGTCCTGGGTTCCTGCACATGCGTCAGCAGGGAGCCAGGAGCCGCGGTGCGTTGTATGGAATTATATTAAGGCATCTAACAAAATTTGAACCACACATCAACTACTCAACTGCAGGCCCGAGCACATACTGTGAGTTCCAGTAACTCGGTGGCCAGTTTTGTTTCTTAAATCATTCTTCTTCAGTATAAATTAACTGTCTATCAGTTCCTAAACCTTGATGATCTCAGGAAGAACCCAAAAGGGAGCTCCAGAGAAATAGTGCCTACCTGCAGCAATGCTAACTGAGCCGACAATGTTGTGCCTTCTGTTTGCAGGGTTTGCACCTTGCACTCAAGTTCAGCAATATATCGCATCTTCCTTTCCTTCGATCTTGCAGCAGATTGTCTATTAGCCCAAATCCTGTCAAATGATACCGATAATAAATCAGTATAAGCATGCTTATTCACAGCATAAAATTCAATTTATCTTGAAGAATGATCATTCTGAAAGGAGGCAATGGAAGGACTATAAAACTGAGGGAACAAATCACACTTGCACTCTTTGATTGTTTGGCCGTATGAATGCGATATTTCTTATTCCTCTCACCTGACCATGACCTATCTTTCTTGTAATATGGCCAATATTTCTTATAACCTGATCCACTCTATGAAGCAAACCTTGATTACTTACACCATTTCCATTCATTCAAAGTTCCAAACTACACAACATGGTAAATTTCCCCTTAGCTAAAGATCTCAGAGAAAGATTTCCAGATGCAATTGTCTGATGTGAAATGACCAACAGATATGTAGTCATTCAAAGCAAGACTGGCCAACCGAACTGATTTGTATGTAAAAGGACTATATGTAAGAAATTTCACAAGAACAAACATGAAGCTCTGGGAATCAGACATTTTCACCCACAATACTACTTGTGCAAAGCAACCCTCAATACAGTCTTTGGCTCTTTGAACCTAAGAAACAGATTCTTAGTTGAAGTTCACTATGTAATTTCACCCTCAGTCTCACCTACCATCTACAGTCCACCTTGCCTCTCACGCAACCTGTTCTGTGAAAATGTTCAACTGCACTAACCTCCCTTTACTAAGAATATAGCAAAGGCAGGATTTACTGATGCAATCATTTGATATGAAAATGATCAACAAATAATGCAGCCAGTTCTAAATCATCATAGCCAAATCTGTTTTAAAAATAAACCTGGCCAACTGAACCAAGTACCCCAAAAAAAATTTGCATAATAGATGAAATTTCACAAGAACAAACATACAATTCTGTGAGAAAACAGACCTTTTAGCCCTCTTTGGGTCAACAAGAGCAAGCTCAGCCAGTTTCGCCGCAGACACTGCTTTCTTGGCCTCTGCAGACGACATCCCCTCCATCCCCGGCGCCCCCACCAGCTGTTCCGCCTTGATCGACATGGACTCGTCCATGGACTGGCTGTGCTGATGCCTCGGCCTGGGCGCGTGGCCCAGCTCAGCCCCATCACCGCCGCCACCCGCGGCGGACGAGGACTCAGCCTCGGCCTCCGACGACGCCCCGCACGACGAGTTCAGCTTGTCCACATCAAGGAACATGGAGAAGAGCTCCTCGTCGTTCTCGTCCGACAGCGACGGTCCGTCGCCGCCTCCGGGAGCGCTGAGGTCGAGGTCGTCGGGGAGGCCCAGGATCTCGGAGTGCGCACGCCGGTGGCCGGTGCTCCGGGTAGGGAAGTCCGGCATGCGGCTGATGTCGTACTCCAGCGGCGGGGTCGACGACGAGGGCGGCGCCCCGGCACGGCGGGTGGACTGCGGCGGCAAGCCGTCGCTGGGGCCGCCATCTCCCGGCATCGGAGCCTTGTCCTTGTTCATCTTCTTGGCTACGACCCAAGATTCGGGTGAAGACTGCGCCGCAAAAGAATTTCGGGGTTGAATTGCTAAGCGGCGCAAGAACAGAAATCGGAGAGCTTGAGGAGAATTCTCGTTCAAGAATAAGATCTACGCGCTGCCGCGCTGGGTTGCAACCGAGCAGAAGCGAGAGGGAATGACGAGAGGATTGGAGAGGCAAGGGCTGTCTGTGTCGTCTGTCTGTCACTTTATCCTCGGGCATTTTTCGCATGAACAGTCTGGTCGCTCGATGATTTTTGTTCGGATTCATCAGCAGTATTTTTTTCTCATAATAAATCAACTCAGTCAAATTTATCTGTCCAGAAAATCAACGAGCGAACGTGTTGGAAATAGATGGATTTACGCTGGACTGCAACAAGCGAAAAAAATTCTACAAGTACACGGCGTGCAGTTTGCTAGTGTAGTTGTCCATGACTCTTACGCAGGTTTGTATAGTACTTAAAGCATGTTCAATGCTTTTTTAGCTAGTACGCGAGATTTGATCATATATTAGATAATGCAGTGTTGTACCATCCGGGCGTATTAGATAATACAGATTTACACAAAGTCTGTTCGTATTAGACAAGGTAGGTTTACACAAATCGATGTGCATATAAAAATAAAATGTTTTCATCTCTCAAACTTTCTATTAGAAACATGAGACCTCAACTAGAACACGAGGATGATTGTAAGGGCTCGTTTGGCATGGCTCCGGCTCGTGAAAAAACAGCTCTGGATCTGGCTCGTATGGAAAAGCAGTTTTTTTTTTACTCTAACTTATTTTGTAAGAAAATGTTTGGCAAAATAGCTTCTCCTAGTGTAAAGAAGATGTGAAATGTCCAAAATAACCTTATATTTTTTTTTTTTTTTTCTTCTTCTTTTTTTTTTTTTTTTTTTCTTTCCTTCTCCCTTCTTTTCTTCTCCTTATCCGAACGGCCTCACTCCTTACCGATACCCACTCCCTCCATCCATCTCTCTCTCTCTCTCAAAGGGGGGCTAAATCCATTCGATTCCACAGCTGAGGCTGAAGCTCCGCAGTCACAACATTCAAATCTCTCTCTCTTCTCACTCTTTCTCTCTCACACACACAGAGAGACGGGAGGCAAACCATGGCGGAGTTGATTGCCAAGGCGGCGGGTGATGGACCTTCGCAAATCGCAAGCTCTCCCAAAGCCACCGCCCGCCACCGGCTCTGCCACTCTCACATCCCGGCCTTGCACGACGAATCGCCACGCCACGCACGACGGCCCCGGCCCCATGCCGCCGGCGGTCCCCGAACTCCTCCTCCATCGGGTAAGTGTTATTTGCTTTCAGTCCCTTCCCTTCGTCTCGGTCCTCGATGTCGCCGCCACAGCAGAGAGTGGCGCGGACGGAGCATCGTCTTCCGCTTCGGACATCAAACGGCGCGGCGTCGGGGAGGAGAGCAAGCCGGCGACAGGGATGAAAAGTGACGAGCTCGAACCGGAATAAGCCAGTATTTTTGGCTTCTCGCGTGGGGAGGAAATGAGTCACCGGATTTTGCGGGGCTTTTGCCGGCTTCTTGCCAAAAGCCGTTTTGCCTGTCGCCGTTTGGCAGGGCTTCGCCCGAAGCCGCTCGAGGAGCCGCGGCAAAAGCCCTACCAAAGGGGGGCTAAGTCTGCAACCTATGCGCCCTTTGTCATCAGGAGTCGAAGACGATGGACCATCTACTTGTTGCCTGCGTCTATACGTGGAGGTCTGGGCCAGGCTTCGTCCTGCCCTGGCCATTCAACAACCGGCGCTGGTGGAACAGTCTGTTGTTGCTGCCGATTGGGGTGGTTCCTAGTTTCATGTTGGTACCCTAGTTAATCTGGAAGGAAAGGAATAGTCAGTGTTCAATAGGTTTGCAACGATGCCGGCTCGGCTGCTGCCAAAGATCAATGATGCGGCAAGTCTTTGGGTTTTGCGGCAGGTTTCAGGAGGTTAACTCCGCTTCCCGTTCGTTGGTCGCAAATTGTAACCGTGTAATTGCAGCTTCAGTCTCCCTAGCGTCTGTTTTCTCTGTTCTTTTGTGTTCCTCCCCTTCGGTTGGGCTAACCATGGCTTGCCTCGTGTGTCTGTGTTTGCTACCTCTTAATAATGAAAAATATGTTTCTTGAGCATGATCACGAAAAAAAGAACAAGAAGATGAATACATGCAACAAAATATAAACAACCAATATATATTTTATCAAATGTGATTTGTCTATGCAGATAAACCAAACACCAGGACACTACATATATTTATGTTGGCTTAAGTTATGCCGTATAAGGCTAATGACAGACAAAGGCTAATGCAAACAACCAATAAGACCTATAGATGTCTAAATGGTTGTCTGACACAGCAAGGCATGACCTCGATAAAGCACTACCCGCTTTTACTAAGGCATGGCACAGTGGCGGAGTTGGCTCGTGTTGAGATCACCCATGGGCTCGACCCCTCAGCCTAGTCACAGCACGGAGCCCTTTCTTTCAGGTTGCGTCGGTTCAGTTGGCCCATCCAACTTGGTGAACCCGTGCTAACACAGTGGAGCGACGGTGCCGACTATGCGCGCCATAGGCCATAGCTTGAGCAGCTTGGAGGGGGCAACGACTAGATCTATGTGGTGTACCTGAAGTGACATGCTTCGCTCATAGGCCATAAAAAATTTTGAGCAAATTTTTAAGGGGGCAACGACTAGATCTATTAAATATAAATATAAATAAAACTAATTACAGCGACAAATTCACGAGACTTAATCTTTTTTAAGCCTCAATAGGATTGGACACTTGAAAGCTCTTATTTCCAAAAAAAAAACGCCAACTAAACAAGGCCTTTGAGCTCAGCGACTACTAAGCTGCAAAGGACATGGAGCTCTTTGACAAGTGCAATGATTCACGGTTAGCCTCAGCCCTCGACATCCCACACGGCTACGCTGGAAGGAGAGAGAGAGAGGATAGGAGCAGTGCTTCAAAGGCTGGACCATGAAGAGAAAGGGAGGAAAAGCAATTTTCTACTCTATGTCCTATATTACAATGCATTCTTAAAATCTTAAGATAACTCAATATAATACCCAAATGATGCATACGGGCATAGATTAAACACAATTAAGGTGTTTCTTCTTAAATTATAGCTTCGAGACTTTGCTAAATCTAGACATGGACACTGCATAGAATGTATTATATTTTAGTATAAAATTTAGAAGTCATAATGCATTGTATTTCAGGACATAGGGAGTAGTATGTAATCAGGTAAAAAAATGAAAAGCTTCCAAAAATGATAACAAAAGTCCTCCTAGTTGAGTTCAGGGGGTGAAAGGTCGTTGCTGTTGCCACTTGTGGTGTCCCTTACGAGTGGACCGTTTTTATCCATGCAGTGTTGCTGAGGTACTGGACCATTCTTATCCAATTATCCATGCAGTGTTGCTGAGGTTTTTACAGTTAAGAGAGCGCGAGGCATCGACAGAACCTATGGACTACGACTATGGCGCGATGCGCAAGCGCACCAGCGCAGCTACGCGAGACATGATTCCACTCGAGTCTCTGAACAAGCTTCCCTTCTGTTGGAATCAGCAACCAGCAAAAGTACACAGCACACAGCACAATAGCATATGGTTTCAAATCAAAGGAGTAAATAATAATATAACACGAGACCATGTTAACATACGAGTACAAAATCCAGGCCGGATTATTCTACATCAAATACATGGAAAATAAAAGGAGAAAAATGAAATTGTTTTCTGGTAATGTCTGTCTTTAAAAAGGCAGAACTGGGGTAGGTAGGTGTAGTAGGCTAACGGACTGACACCATGGGCCGCTTCCGTTGTGCGGTGCATCCTTGTTTGAGACCGGCTGAGGTGAGACTTGCGGTACCTACACAAACGTTTTTGTCAGGAATATGACGCTGAAGAATCTGACTTGCAGGTGGATAGTAAATAACGAAACGAGTATTAAACGCATACAGAAGTTGCATATTATTTAGGTGGTGTTTAAATCCAAGAGCTAAAGTTTAGAGGTGTCACATAGAGACAGTGACGTCACATGAGAGTGTTCGGATAGTAATAATAAAATAAATTACACAAGTCCTCGGTAATCCACGAGACAAATTTATTAAGCCTAATCAATCCGTCATTAGCACATGTTTAGTGTAGCACCACATTGTCAAATTATGCCTAGTTAGGATTAAAAAATTCATCTCGTAAAGTAATCATAATCTATGCAATTAGTTAATTTTTTAATCTATATTTAATACTCCATACATATATCAAAACATACGATGTGATAAAGACTAAACTTTAGAGGGAGAAACTAAACAAGACCTTAGACCTTAAACGAGTGTAGTGCAGGAAACGCATGACAAAAGTTACACCACTGCCAGACTGAAGTCTCTCAGTCATTTTAATTCATAGGTTTAGTCGCTAGTTCGAGGATAAACGTGGAATGAGAAGTTCAAGCAATTTGTGTTTGCCTAACGGAAAATGATGGAAATCGGAACAAAATCCTAACCGTATGGGTCAAGCGCCCCATGATTCAGCCCAGCTTGACTTTGGACCTCCATGGGACACTAGCACATCGGAGATAAAAGATACTTTCAGCGACAAGGAGAGCGCGAAAGCGATTTATAGAGAACGGCTGTTATCCGAACTCTATTCCCTCTCCTCTACTCTTTTTACCCAGTTATTAAAAGAAAACGAGTCTATCATCTTAACTTTGCCCGCTGTACTTTCACTCTCTATACTAATACTGCTTTTAATAATTAATAAAAGAAAGCGAGAGAACCATCGACACAAGCTCGACCGCGTGCGGTATCAACTCGTCGTCGTCGTCGTCCACCCAGACGCCGACCAAGCGTGTATATCGACCCCGTGCGTCGAATAATACGTGTCATGGGTTCATTGGCCATCGATCAAACAGTAAACGTGTACGTGTCACCATGTGAGCATCGACAGAACGAAGATGTTCGCACGCACGAGTAGCGGAAGAGAAGCGTGCCAGTGATGGCCCGCTTGCAGAACGTGTAAGAATGTGTTCACTGTTCAACGAGAGAAGGCGGGCCAAGTATTTCCTCGTACTCCTGACGTAAGAGAAAAAACATGACAAGCCGAAAATTTGATAAGCCATGATTTTGACTATTGTTTGATTTGCTACCAAAACTTACCAATCTCTCATATTTTGCTTGCCAAATCCATAGCAAAAATTTTACCCAACTTTGGCTTACCAAATCCTTAGCACAGCGAATTTTGGCCACAAACCAATCAAGCGTTTAATTCTGTTGGTAGACGAGGACCCTCGAATAAACCTAGGCTGCACGCACTGGGCACTGCATTGTTTGTACGCAGGCCTGGAGCGAACGAACCCGCGTGACAGCTTTGAAGATTTTCTACCACTGGTGCGTAATAAGCTCACCCTGTTCGTCAAGGCCAGCGCGCTTTAGGGAATAGGGACCCATGGAGCGAGCGAATAATTAAAGCATTCGCGATGGCATCGAGACGAAAGCGTCAAAAGCTACAGGCACAGGATGCAAACTAGTAATGCATAGTTTAGATTCATTTCCTACTCAACATCGATGAGTGGGGCACTGAAATGTTTGTATTGACAAGCTCATTATGGATAATCGCCGCCCCAACGATATGGCCCCGATGCTCCATTATACTCCGTTTAATGCACTTATCCTACAAGCCCATCGATGCGCAAATGAACTAGCTACATGAAAACCGAGGCGGGCAAGTGATTGCAGCTGGCGCTGCGGGCTGCTATCAAATGCCACATGCCAGTATGAATGTAATAACAAGCAAAAGGTATGATAAAGGGGAATTGGAGAATCCAACGTAGCTCAATGGATCAACAAAGAAATCACTAGCAGCCAGGCCATTTCAGTCGATGTTTAACCACAATGTTCACCGTTTCATTGACGTTTTGTCTGTGAATGACAGTTTTTTTGTTCGGCTGAAACGAGGCTTGTGGTATGCCAAGGATGAATACTACCGGGCCATGGTGATTTGGATAACAGAACATCACTGTAAGGCGTTGTTGAGTGCGTTATTGGTTACGAAAGATGTCCGGTGCTACATAGAAGAAAGCAGCAGGGGGTCTAAACCGAGTCTCGCAGAAGACAGCAGGGTTCGCAGTAGACGAATCACCATACTGTAGCATGGTTTCTCATCGTATTGTGAGAAATGGTACTCCCACTTTACCACGAGAACCAAGAACTGCGTTAAAGCTGGTGAAGAAAGCTTTTTGTTTCATTTTGTTTCAAGGTATCCTCACTGCTTCTCAAGTATAGATATCATAAAACCATTACATTAAAGATGTCCATACATTAATCAATTAGAGATCTAATATTGCCTCATGTAAGTAACGTGGTGTTTTAACAGTGATGACTACTTTATCTACTGTTTTACTGTAATGCTGAAACTCTCACTAGACTACCAAGGAACTGTGCAGATCAGATTTAGCAAGGCAGTCAAGAAAGAATACACAGATGTCAACATATCATGCAAGCAAACTGGCAAGAGATGTGTTATGCAAGCAAATAAAACTAAAATCAAGTGTGCATACTGGCCTTACTTGACTAGGATATGAATGTCTAAGATTAAACCTTGTTCTAATGTTTCAGTGTTAATTGTGTGTTGTGTCTATAAATTCTAAGCCAACCTAACACAATCTTGAGATGGCAAACAATGGCCATTTTGTTTAAAACAAACTCATTTCATTGAATTACATTTTGAACTTACCAAATGCAAGCTAGTGTTAGGATTAGGTTAACAATGATTAGATGAACCTTGCACAAGCAGATAAGATATAGCAAACAACAGAAAATATTAAATGAAGAGGTGCACTTACCTGAAGCAATAATTAGGTCTCAGGATTGATTTCCAGATCCGCGCTGCTGTAACTGAAGCAGTAGATTTTGAGCTAACTGGAGTGTCGCCTGGTACTTCTTGCTTTTATCCTCCTCGGGAGCTTGTGCAGCACCAGGACCAAGATTTTGCTGTTGCCCCTGAGAAGAGAAATCCTGACTTGCTCTATCAACATGCAGTGGCATATAATGCTGGAGCTGGGCCAAATTCCCGATCTGATTATTTGTTGGAGGTCCAGGGTTCACTTGTGGAATGGTAGGGGTGGGGTTGTTAGTGTTGCTGATTTGAAGGTTAGAATGGCTAGCCGGAGCTAATGGACCATAGTTGCTTTGGGGCACATAATACTGCTCTGGCTGATACAGTTGCTGGTTTGTCTGTGTGGGCAAACTGTGTCCACCTTGAGATGGTAACGTAGCAGAACTGTGTGGTACTGTTGGAAGTGGAGGTGGTGGTGGTAAGTTCAAAGCAACTTCAGGGTTGTAAGCAGTATGTTGTATTGAGCGCTCCTGAGCACTCACCATGTTCCCATAGTTTGTCAAATGAGCAGCTGAAGCTTGCCTGCTAAACTGCTGTCCTGGATGCTGAACATTGGCAATTTGCCCAACGGATGAATTTGAAGCAGTAACTTGGTTTTCAGGAATCCATACTTTCGAAAGCATAGATGGATCCTGCATCTGTGATGGTCTGCCAGTAGCATTCATCTGACCACTTACCAGCGGTGATTGCACATTAGGCAGAAGTTTTGCTAAAGTAGCCATAATGTCAGGCTTGAGCGAAGATTGAACTTGCAGCGCAGTTGCTTGATTAGCAGGAAAACCTGCAAGAGCTGGCTGAACTGCTTGGCCTTCATCCACCCGAGGCCTTCCAGGAATATGCCCCAAATGATGCATTGAATCTTCATGCAAAGATGCCCGATAATCAGCATCAATGTGGCCACTGTCGTTAGGAGAAATGATACTATACTTTCTTTGTGTAGGCAGAGTTTCCCTTTCATCATAGTAAGGTTGCTGCTCTGTCCCAGTTAACTGTGGCCTCAGTGCAGCAGCAGCAGAGATTTGTGGAATGTGCAATACCACACCATAAAGGCGCTCTGGACCATCAACTTGTAACACATTTGTTAGGAAATCTGATGGTGGCACCAAAAACAAAGTAGTCCCTGCATCAACTTTTACAACCCCTGCCCGGCTTTTTGAGCCCAGGTAGCGCAAGAACTCAGTATAAGAAATGAAATCATCTTCACTATCTGGTAAGAAAAAGACAATGTCAAATCCAGTGGCATCTGCATAGTGCTTTGCCAGCATATCCAAACCAGTCCGAGCTGAGCAATTCATAACGTCCGGTCTGCAAAGTTTAAATAGCAGAGTAAGATCATTAATATACACAATTCAACTTTATATAACAGAACAAATATTTGTGCAACAATGTTTGGACTTACAGAGGTATGTCAGTGCCCTTTGTTATAGGCAAACAACGAGCACGACAAACAGGGGATCCACCTTTGGCAATACTGCCACGCCAACAGTGATCAATGTATGATGTTCGATGCACTGTGCCCCGGACTCGAATAACAGGAGTTGAGCTTCCCTCAGCATGCACAGAACTGCCCTGATGACGGTACCCAGCAGAATAAAGACCTGCGCTGCCTGCCCTTAGATGAGGGTCAGCACCAGCATCGAGCCTCATTCTTTTTGCTTCTCTTGGGTCAAATGATTCAGGTTGTGAAAGGATACCACCTGGAGTAGGCATACCCCCATAATCGTAATATCTTGATCTTCCTCCTCGTGGTGGATCATACCCTTGCAAAGTTCCACTGCCAATACCAGGTCCTTGACGGCCATCACTGGAATACATTTCTGATCTAGGAAATCCAGCAGCCGATGTGGGGTTATCCAATTTGTTTGGTGCGAGCTCACTGTTTGAGAAAAGAATCTGAATCCTAGGATCATTGAAAAGATGACCATCTAGATTCATCTTAGCATTATAAGCGTCCGCAACATTTGCAAACTCAACAAAAGCATACTGCCTTGTCTGGAAAATTTTTATCTTCGTAACGACACCAAATGCTGACATGGCTTGCTTAAGTGTCTCCTCATTAATGACTTTATAAGCACCTGGAAAACCAACCCAGAGAACATTGGTAGGTTGTGCTTCTCGCATCCGTATTCCAGCAGAACCCTGCCAGGTAAACAGAACATGATAGTAAGCAACATCAGCAGATGAAAGAGAATCACCACACAACAGATGTCTATATATCTAAACAGTGCACCTTTGGAGGGCCACTGCCTCTCTTATCACCCACTGGCCCTGATACTCTACCATTGAAGCTGCTAGCTTCTGACCATTCCTATACAAATCAGTACAAACAAGTTGTAACAAGAAAATCCACTATAAAATTTTAGCAGAGGAAATACAAATCCAGCCAACACTATGGATACACACCGCTCTTCCCTTGGACCTCTGGAAATCAACACACAGTTCCTTGCCACCTAAAGTTTTTCCATTCAAGGCTCTGTGAGCAGAAATTGCATCTTCAAGCTTCTCAAAATCAATGTACGCTGAAGTCTGATCTTGGGAAAATGCAACACCTTCAACTTTTCCGAACTTTTGAAACTCCTCCTCAAGCTCCTCCTTTGAAACCGATGGACTAATGCCACCAACCCACAGATTCCTAACAGCTTTGGCCTATATATAAAAACCAAAACAACAAACAAAATCTTATAAAGGCATGGTAGCATGGTACTCAGTCTCAGATTCCAACAAAAACATGGAAACACACAGGACCCTATAACTTAAAATTAAACCATGACAAACACATTGCACACTGAATCTTCAAAACAAGTCAGATCCTGAGTAGCATAAAACTGCATCATCCTGCATTTTTGCATGAATCGTCGGGCCGAGCACTACTGTGTAAGAAATTTGCAAGGAAAGGAGCATCTTCTAATATAATATAGAATAAGGACCTAATCAGCCAGATTGCAAATAGATAAACATTGCATACGGCCAGTATCCTCGACCAAAACTGTCGGTGTAGCATTTTCATCAGCAGCTACAAATTCCAGATCGATATCTACCATCACAATAAATAGGCGGACCTATAAACCCTAGCTAGCCGGGAAAAATCACGTGGCGTCGCGGACACAAATCGCAATAAGCAGCCGGATAAATCTAGGGCGGGAGTTCTTTATTTTCATTCAATAAAAAAAAATCTAGGGCAGAAGGAACTAAATTACCGGCCGCGCGAACTCGGTGCGCATGGCGGCCCCCTTGACCTTTTCACCCCGGGTGGCCTCGACGGCTGCGCGAGCCTCGGCTGGGGAACGGAAGAGGACGAACGCGTAGCTGCGAGATCCGGCTCGTGCGAGAGCGCAATCGAGCGCGCCGTGCGGCCCGAACAGCGCCAACAAATCGCCCTCGGTCACGTGCAGGGGCAGGTTGCCCACCCAGAGCGTGTTCGTCGCCGGGCCCCCCGCAGCGGCGCCGCCCTCAGTGCCGACGGCGTCCTTCGAAGGCGAGCCAGATCCAGAGCCGGAGGCGGGCGCCTCGGGGGACTCCGCGGGCGGAGGCTCCGACGACATCGCCGGAGCGGCGGAGAGGGAGGGGGTCGCGGGAACCCTAGAGCACGGGGAATTTGGGTTGGATTTGCACGCGAGCACGAGGGCTCTCGAGTCTGGGCTCTGTGGTTTGGGTGATTCGGTCCGTACTGAGGGGGGTGTTTCCGTGTCTAATCGGATATTAATAAAAGAATAAATTACAAAAAAATTTATTAAGCCTAATTAATTTATCATTAGCACATATTTATGCTAGTACTACATTGTTAAATTATAGATTAATTAGGCTTAAAAGATTCGTCTCGCAAATTAGTCGCAAGCTGTGCAATTAGTTTCGTAATTAGTCTATATTTAATACTCCATACATATGTCCAAACATTCGATGAGACGATGACTAAAGTTTAGAAGGAGAAACCAAACACCCTTTATTCAGAGCACAAATGTGTTCGAGTCGAACCGTCATCGTCATTTTTTGAGATTTTCTCAGGTGTTTTATAAAAGATCAGATCCTCCATGTGCTCAGAAAAATTCAACGGTAAAAGTTCAAGATCGTGAAATCCTCAAGTTCCTTCCTTTCTTAAGACTTCAAAAATCAAAGTTGAGTGTCTTTTCATATAAATTATTTTCATTTAATTTCAAAAAAATATGATGTTAATTTTTTGGCATTTACTCCGTTAAATAAAAATAATTTTATATGAAAATTATAGATCTCGGGCCAGATCTCCAATTTCTAGTTTTGAGTTTTTTCATTTAAACTCGTTAAGATGCTCAAAATAATATATTATTTGAACTTAAGGGCATTTTTGTCTTTTCACACCTGCAGTTTGACGGCGTTGGAGCCTGAACTAACGAAAGTGGCACGGAGGACCCGAAAAAGTTGGAGTAGTGGCGCTGAAGACCGCTGAATTTTTTCAGAGACATACAATGAATTACGATCTTTTATAATGACACATGAGAAAAAGTCTCTATTTTTATCGTACCCGCCCGACCCCAACGAGACCAAACCCAACGTGACCGGAAATTTAACTTTCTATAAAAAAAATGTGCCCTCTCCCGTTATCACTTTTATGGTTATCTTTATATAAGGTGGTGTTTAAATTTAGGAAGTAAAGTTTAGGGATGTTATATGGAAGTATTTGGATACTAATAATAAAATAAATTACAAAAATTCTCAGTAATCTGCAAAACGAATTTATTAAGCCTAATTAATCCGTTATTAGCACATATTTACTGTATCGCCACATTGTCATATCATAGATTAATTGGGCTTAAAAATTCGTCTCGCAATAAATTAGTCGTAATCTATGCAATTAGTTATTTTTTTAGTCTATATTTAATAGTCCATGCATATGTCCGAGCATCCGATGTGATAGGGAGTAAACTTTAGGGGGAGAAATTAAAAAAGGCCTAAATTGCTATTGCAGCACTAGCGATCGGATGTCCTCCGGACGCCCACGCTTGCTACACTTGCACGCATAGGCGGGGCCCGCCCACGCCACTCCCTCACGCTTCCTTGCTTCCCGCACCCCTCCATGTCTGCTGCGCTTTCCTCCATGCACGGCGCACCAGCGGCTGTGGCAGGTGGCTTAGATTACAACAAGCACAATACCCCCGCTTTACTTTTAAAACAAAACATCCAAATAAAACAATTACAACATACGTACGGAACACAGCTGAAATATTCGAAATATGCGTCTGAAACACATGCAAAAACACATGAAAAACACTTGAAAAATAATTGCAAACATATGCAATATCCAGATAAAACACTTACAACGTATGTATGAAACATGTGCAACATTCAAACAAACATATTTATAATGTACGTCTGAAAAACAGATGAAACATTGGGAATAGGTCACTTGCAACATACGTCTATAATTATTGCAATATATGCAACATCGTGATCTACTTTTACAACATTCGTACGAAACACTTGAAACATACCTATGAAACATCTGAAACACTTGAAACATGCGCTTACAACATCGGAAGCCCGGGGCCGGGGGATTCCAGCCATTGGGGTCGGAGCTAGCGCGGGATAGCGAGCACGACGGGCAGGAGCGAGCAGCATGGGATGGGCGCGTGGTAGCTGTTGATGGTCACTAACACCTGTTTTGACCATCAATATTCCACCCAAAAGCATGGTAAAGTAAGGTAAATCATCATCACATGTGAAGAATTATGTTTAAATTTCACCTAGTTCCACTTGTGCTTTTAGAATTATTTGTATGCAGGAAATATGGCAAATTTTGACCAAAATGGTGACAAACATGGACCACGAAAGCAAGTGGACGTGGCAGGGCCACCTGGGCCCACAAGGCAGCGCCGCCCAGCCCTACCTTGGCGCCGCCCAGCCCCACCTGGTGCCACCTTGGCACTTTGCCACGTCACTGATCCGTGGGAGCCCCTCCAATACCAATGGGATGCGTTGATCTAAGTCGGTTCAATCAATGTTCACGATGAAGAGGCCGTGGATCCATGGGCCCATTGTCATAGACTTGGAGCTTCACCAACCGACTTACCGACCAAGTTTCACCACGTGCTGTCTCTACAACTGCCATTGGGAGCCAACCATCACTGTTGGATGGTAAGGTGGTGGAATAGAGGGCCAAACGGCGTCCTCCCTAGGCCACCTGGCACCCAAGTCACTCCACCGACCTTGCCACTGCCTACAAATACCCCTTCCCTCACTATATACTATAAATAGTGGGTGTGGAGCTCGGTGGAGAAGTGCCCCACTCATTTCCAAGCTCTCCAAGCTTCTCTTAGCTTTCTAGCTTAGCATTAGCTATAGAGTAGTAGTCTAGTAGTGGAGTAGAGCAAGAGCGGAGCTTCTCGAATCCGAAAGAGTCTTCTAGGTCTGGTATGGCTCCTTTGTAATTCTTTTATTTCTGCATTACTTTATTCAGTATTTATTTCGGTATTTTATTCTAGTATTGCTTGCTTTACTTTAAGTACTTAGTCATTAGTGTTCATCATTAGTGAGCTTAGGTGCTTATGGTTTGGCATTAGTAGCATAGGTTATTTTATCATTAGTAGTCTTTCGTTAGTACCGGTTCTACCGTCTGGTTAGGGTGCTTTGATCTCATTTCATTGGAGCTCGGATCGAAGTAGTAAGCCTGTAGATTAAGCGTGATGCTTAGGCTATAGATTACCTGTGGATACGACTAGGCCTCTTGATAGATTGTGGTAGGTGGTAAGTGGTGACAGCATTATCTATCCTCTATATTCCACCATGATAGGTCTAGTTATTAAATCGTAGGGCTCGTGGCAGATCTTATCTATTTAACTCTCCTAGTTGATAGGCGGGCTGTGCCCCGAAGTACTATCGTATTTCTCCTAGTTATTTGTTTACCTTTAGTTACTAGAAAGATATACCGCTCGCTCTCCCACCTAGCTATCTCTGGTTAGCTTGTATTTAGTAGTTAGTTTAGGTAGTTCACACCCATCCTTCACTATCATTCACCTACCTAGGATCAACTTAAGACATACCTTTAACAAATCCTAGTCCTATATAAATTCTAACATTCCGCCTTCCTATGGGGAAAATATAAATTCGACACTTGGTACTCACCAAATGAAGTGCTACGTGATAGTTCCGTGCGCTTGCAGAATCCTCTAATTGTTAGGAAGTATCAACAGCAGCAACGAGGCAGAGTGGGCGTGCGGCGTCCGGACGGGGTGGTCGCTGCATTGGAGAAGGCCAGCGTTGGGTGGGCGGTGCGGTGGATGCGCCCGCGGCAGTCACATGCGTCCAGCAGTGGGGAAAGGAAATATCGTTGTGTTTCTTATTTTTTGCAGAAACCGCGTCGTGCTGAAGGTGGAGTGAAGAAGGCATGTTGGGCCCGATCATTGGGCAAGCCCAAGAATGAGCCATTCGGACAGAACATGCCTGGATAGACGCCTGTGTGCCAGCATTATCGTTTTGCTTATGTGGCATGCCACATCCACGTTTCACACTGGAGCTCAATCAACAAGGCATGTGAAATGGCTTTCCTGCCCCTGCACGTTAGACATCTGTTTAGGTGGTGCCCACCTGTCATCCTATCTGCTCCTTTCTTCGGCACACCATGCGCTATGGCTAAGCTCCCTCAACGGGGCTACTTGCGTCGCCGTTGAGGACTACCTAGGTTGCCCACGCCACCGCTAGGGCCAAGCTCGCCTGCGGCCCAGGCCACCCGCGTCGCCGCCAGGGCTGAGCTTGCCCTCACTGCCAATGCCAAGCTCGCCCATGGTGGGGGCCCCACCCACCCTTGCTGGGGTCATGTCCAATCGTGCCATGGTTGGACCCAAGCTAGACGAGCCCTGAGCGCGTCGCCGCCGCTCCCAACTGAAGCCACGCCGCGCCCGCCCCACGTCGCGCCTATCCTAGACTAGAGCCGCCTCCCTCGCCCCTGACCAGAGTAGCGCTAGAGCTCGCCTCCCCTACCCCACACACCTCCCCACGCCCCCGCATGGAGAAGCCAGTGGCAGCACTCGAGCTCACGTCGGAGCTCCACTTGGATCCACGTCGCCCCTGCCCCGACCTCGTGCTGGAGCTCCGCCTGGATCCGCGCCGCCCCTAGCCCGAGGTCGCGTCGGAGGTCCACCTGGATCCACGGCGCCATGCCCCCAAGCTCGCGCCAGAGCACTGCCGTTGCCGCGCTCGTCGGAGCACTACCGTTGCCGTTGTCGCGCTCGCCTGCTCATCGTGCCCACTGGAGCAACGCCGTCCATCCATGGCCGAGCTCGCATAGGCAAAGAAGAAGACGAGCAGCGACATACAGAACAAGATGCCATTGGAAGGGGATGAGTTCGTAACTCAATTTTCTAGGGATGGGGATATCCCCAAATCTAGAGGTATATTCCTATCTAGGGATGACTCCATCCTTGTGTCCTCGAACCAAACACCGAGATAAAGTGGGATATCCCACTTTGTCCCTGTCCCGCACTAGAACCAAACTCTACCTAAGAATTATCTAGGCGATAGGGAATATCCTATTTTAATTTCTAAAACTACACTTACAAACTAGGTTAGAAATAAA